GGGGGGGGGGTCGCCTTAGTAACAGATATGCGGAAAATGATGCCAGAGTTGATGTGGGTTAACACTACGCATTAGTTAATAGCAAGTAATTATAATGCAAGTTGTAGAACAGCTTGCTGCAGGCGGATACCCTGGGTATATCTGTTTACCGCTTCTTAATTCGCCTCCATTGTTAATAGTTACTTCCATGCTGCTGTAACATTTCAGGTACCCTCGCGAGCTATTAATCACGTAGGGAGTATTTTATCAGGGCGGCTATTAAATCCGCCAATATCAGTATCAATGCAAGTCAACCTCGCAACTTCTGAGGAATAGAAACAGCACTACTCGGAATGAACAGTAACTAATAAGCAAGTTCATTTATTCCTTTTTTTGGTGTTCAACAAACCAAGTGGAACGAACCAGTACGCACAAACCCCTATTCAGTATTCCCAAATAAAACACACACGCATCTAAAACCAAACCAACGTTGTCGCGGTTCACTAAATCTAGGTCTCTGTTTGTAACAATAAATCCGAGGGAAAATGGTAATATCTAAACAAAACATGATGAAGAATGTATGATGTATAAATTAGCGGTTGACATCCGCCAATAACCAACCATCAATAAACTTGGGTGTAGGGAGCGACGTCGCATATGGTATATGAAGGTCAAACCAAAAGGAGAGGCTGGGAAAATGAAAAAGGATCAACTTCAGGTCGAAACTGTTTCTTTGCAGTTAGGGCACAAATGCTCCTCAAAAAGGGGGTAGGTAAACACACGCAAAGAGCTAGATCATCATCTCTTTAAACATCTATCCCAACTTCGTCAGAAATCACAAGGGATAGTAAAATCCAAGAACATGAGAGGCAAAACAACATATGAAGGATCCAAAACAAGAGATCAGCTACGGTAGATCTTGACCACACTAGTGACCTTCTTCCGACACATAGGGCATATGTCAACTTGTTTGGCACAGCTTACGCATGCACAAACATGCCCGCAACTGTAAAACAGCGCATCCTGATCTTCACTGTAGCAAATTTGACAAAGGTCCATCTCCTCATCTGCAACTTCCCAGTAACTGATACCCTTCCCATGTCGTTTGCCGGCCCGGTAACCGCCAACGTACTTGTTGCCAGTCTTGCGTTCAATAAATGTTCCTTGGCCGTGACGTTCATCCTCGCGCCAATCTCCATCATAGGTGTCGCCCGATGTAAACTCCATGATACCTTTACCATGCCGCTGTCCTAGGACGAAATCACCGGTATAGGTAGCACCAGTGTCTGATATGTGAGTACCTTTGCCATGGTAGTAGCCCTTCTTAAACTCTCCGGAATAGTACTCTCCATTAAAAGTAGCTTCTACCGTTTTTGTACCGGTCAGTGCTTGCGTCGGATGCCGACGGGAAAAAGCCCAGAGATACTTTGATAATAGATCAGGGGTGGCAAAGGAACCTCTTTCCGAAATTGTGGTGCATCTACTAACAAATGTGATATTAGCAGACACAAAACCGACAATGGAGGGCAAAAACAACGCAAGATGGGCCGAAGGCTGGGCCGACTCAGCTACAAAACAAAAGATGCACAAGGACTACATACCGTGACTTCGGCAATACTTCACCGACGATGAAACATTGGCCATCCAGATCCATGGATATAATATTAAAAAATTTGTGGGACCCGGATATGGACAGGATTGATGCACCGTCCACACGATGCCAAAGGTGAAACTGCTTATTATCTGGCCATCCCAGAGCGGCACTAACTGAAGATTTGATGGCATCCTTTTTCCTCGCGAAGAACACTCCTGCACGCGGAACTCTTGCTTTTCGGGAGCAAATATCTGATGAATAATATACTTGGCAAGAAGCAGGC